AACCCCGAGACGGTTTAGGGTTTAGGGTTTAGGATTTAGGATTTTAGGGTTTAGGTTTCAGGATGTAGAATTTAGGATTTAGGGCTTATAGGGTTTATTAAACCCGCAACCCTCACTCGGATTCTGATTCCAAGACTTTCAAAACTCTGAAACCACCCCCGAACACAAAACTCCAACAAGCAACACTTGTAACAAATCCGAAAACCCTGAAACTCCAAACACCCTAGAAAGCGAAAGTCAATCCTATAACCTTTGAGCCAAAACCTATGACCTCGAACCGAAGATCCTTCAAAATCGAAAACCAGACACAAAACCTCCAACGCCAAACCCAAAATATCTGCAGATGCGGACCCTTAACCCTACTGTTAAACCCTATAAAAACCTACATCGAAACCCAGGTATTTAAAATCCAATCAAAGATAACACTAAACCCACGCATCTCTTCAACCCCAAGCCGAAACCTCAATCTTCGAAATCAACACCGACCAATGTCCTAAGGTCCCGCGCTTGGGCGCTGAGGTCTTCAACCTTGGCCTCACCGAAAACGATGTACCTGAAAGGTGCTTTAGCCCTTCTTGGTCGTAAGGGTCTGGGGGTCTGGGACTGAGGGTAGCCTGAAAGGTGCTTCAGGCTTTTTGGTAATACGGGTCTTAGGGTCTAGGATTGAGAGGTAAGACGACGCTGACCGACGACGACGACGACGACTACTCTTGCTGATGCTGCTACTTCTTCCTCTTATGAAAAGAATAGCAATGACAACCAAGAATAATAACCACGATGATATGATACTCGTAAGCATCATCATAACGGTAATGGTAGCAACTATGTTAAGCATAACAATAATAACATTCCTCAAAATAAAAAGCATAATGATAATCATCATCATCATCATAGTCAGAATAGTGCTAATAAATACTCTTGCTGCTGCTGCTGCTACGACGACGACGACGACGAACACCACGACCGCAGCCACGGCCACATCGACATACATCGACCATGGACAGACATCCTAGCTGCAGTGATGACCACCACGATGATTCCTCATGTCACCCTGATATTCATAGCTCTTTCTCACAGCACGTCACGCACCAGTATTTTGTAGATTTAGGCTTTCCATTGCTGATGTGCATTGTGAACTCCAACACCGAAATCAATGCTAGCACATTAGGTTGATCATCATGATCTTCCGGCTTCATTGCACGGGAGGGCACGTGTCGGAGGACTGTGCTTTGTGGACATCCGGGTTCGCAATCACGAAGAGGATATTCTTGCCTCGGCACGTCAAGACATCCGCGCAGTAATGAAGCTCTGGGGTGTAGGGCGTGGTCTGCGTACTGCGAGTTCGGCAGTCTGGCTGCCAGGATGCCGGCCCCGCACTGACGACACAAAAGCCAGTTCAGAGTTAGGATTGCAAACATGTGTCAGGGTTGCTGAGCTTACAAGCTCCGGGCAGCAATACCTGGTTCTGCACAGCCAGCTGAGAATCAAACTCCCCGGCAAGTGCGTAGTAAGGCTAGCACTCTTCTTGACGGTCACACGAGTGATGCCTGAACAGGGAAGGTGTGGCATGGATTCGGGTGGTCTAACCACTTGATCCCTCTTCTCCACTCGGATGCACAGGTTCCGAAAGAGTCTTCCAGATCGGCGTGGAGACGCTCTCCTGCCGTCCCCGAACAACGAGTAAGCACAAACCGGAGAAGAAGCAGAACGAAAACTGTCAGGCCCGAAACCAGCATGGGTCAACTGCCGGTTGATTCATCCCGAAGCATCTATACCCATGCTTGTCATCGCCGTTCCCGAATCTTTGCATGCCACTGGGCATTGGGTTTAGGGCTTGAGGTTTAAAATTTAGAGTCCTTATCATTGTTGCCTTCGTCGTCGCTGCGGTCACAGTGAGGATGTTGATAGGCAGCCGACTGGTGGGTTTCAACAGTCGTCATCATCCTCGATGTGGGCATTCATTTCATCTCTTTGTTGCCTGCATCGATCCTGCCACTCGGCCGGCAGCAAGAGGGCCCTCCTAATTGTTCCCTAACCAACCAGGTACCTACTACATAGCCTTAGGGGCTCTAGTACCCTATAGTAGGTACCTGGGCGGTCAGGGTGTTCATAAGCAGAAACGAAAAATCATCCCAACATCACCAGGGGAACTCCAAGTACCGGCCCGCGCTGGGGCCCTGAGCACCAAACTCTCCAAACTATAAACGTACACTGCAACATCCAACCCTCAGCTTCAGAGGATCCTGTTCAAACCTGAATTTCGGGCCACCCATGGTATAGGGTTTAGGGACGGTTATGGGTCTTGAGTTTAGGGCTTTGGGCTTAGAGCCTGAATTTCGCCCACCCATGGTTTAGAGCTTATAGGGTTCATTCTGCTACCAAGGTTCATGACCCTTAAGAACGTGAGTCAAAGAGCCCGAAACCCTGAACCCATAGTCCTACATACAATCTTGCGGTCAAAGCCTCACCGACCCTACTAAACCCTAAACCCTAAACCCTAAACCCCAAACCCCAAACCCTAAACCCTAAACCCCAAACCCTAAACCCTAAACCCTAAACCCCAACGCCAAACCCGCAAAACGCCACATCCAAA